GACAGAGAGAGAGAGACAGAGAGAGACAGAGAGAGACAGAGAGAGACAGAGAGAGAGAGAGAGAGAGAGGAGCCTGGAAACCTCAGCCCCTCAACAAAGACTGATTCTCCTCCTCTTAAGCTATCAGCATGTATCAGTACTTTACTGGTAGCCAAGGCTCTATGGCTCTGGGGAACACAAGCTTATCTCTGCAAGCTCATCTAGCCCTGGAGACCTGGAGAAATTAGACATCACCTGCAGTGATAAAAACCATTCTGAAACTTTTCAGAAGTCATAGCCTCCTGGGTTTTGGATCCCCAGAAGCATGGCTTGCCAGACTCTAAGATGGCAGTATATCCTGGGAATGGGGATGTACTCATCTGCCCTGCTTTGTGTCACAGAATGCTTCAAACCACTCTAAGGACCTCCAGCATCCCTCCAAGCCAGAACCTCTGCTGCCCAGCTCAGACACGAAGCTCAACAGGCCCTCAAACCTCAAGATTGAAACCTCTAACCCTCAGCAGACCTGAGCCTGGAGCAGGCCTCCTTCCCCATGTGCTGAGGAGTTAACCTCACCCCAAAGATAACTTTAGTAAATGTTATAACTCAACAAGAGTTTGCTTCTTTGCTGGACCAGGGCAGTGGGGGATTGTGGGGGGCAGGACCAGCTGATCCTCTCACACCCTACTTGGGTCCTGGGCCCTCTGTGGCAGCCTGATGCCTCCTGCCAAGACCTAGAAAGTCAAAGACCATGACAGACGGTGGCGGGGGGGGAACCAGGGAGACCACCCCCTTCTAGCCTCTCCCCTGGAGTTTAGCTCTGTGCAAGACAGGAGAGAGGCCAGGTTTCCCCTCTCCCCCAACACCTATCTCCTGTTGTTCTTTCAATCAAGTCTGAGTCTTCAGAATTTCTTGGGAAGGGAACGACTCCAAATCTTCCTGTGGCACCACTCAGATATCCCATTAATCAAGGCTGGGCAGAGCTGGTGATATTGTGTCCAAATGTAGTCAGAGACAGGAAGGCTTGAGTTCTGAATATGAGCATGTTGGATGACTTTGGGTGATTCAAAATCTCTCTAAACTCATCTGTCTGGTGCAAAGCCAGCTATCTTTGGCAAGGAGACCTTTTCAGCACTGAAATTTCTGAGTCAAAGATAACTCAGACCCAGAGAAGAGAAAGGCAGAGGGAAGGGGGAAAATGTTAGGGGAGGGGGATTGTGGAGTAAGGAAAAGCAAAAAAACCTACAAGAATGGGCCCAGAACCTGCAGACCATCTTAGAAAGGACTGATTCAACTGGGCCATTGTCCCAGGCTAGCCTAGCCTCCATGCTTATACATGGTAGCCAAGGGCCAGCGAGAGTCTGGCACCTGCTCATGACAAGGTTGTACAATCAGAGGGAGTTGATGGGACTGGACTAGACAAGTGTCATAGAATTCAATGCTTAGCTAGAGACCATCCTGGGGTCTCCCTGCCTATGGCCCAGGGCATGGACAACAGAACACATCCTCCCGGAGTGAGAAAACTAAGACCTGTAACAGGCACACAGGAGGGTCGGGCAGAGTGATGGAAGCTGCTGGCCTCCATCACCTCACATCAACTTCTCATCGGCATGATGCCTCACTCACAAGGCTTCAACTATTGCAGTGTCCAAAATGGGGCCTTAGCAGAAAGTCCTCACAACTCCACAGGGGACTCCCCATGGACTCAGCCAAACAGAGTCCCAGGCCAGCCCCATCTTCTAGGTGTCCACACCTCTAGGGCAACCCTGTCCTCACAACACATCTCCTATGTCCTCTCCTCATGCTTTGGTAACTCCTAGCCTGATGGCACTAGCCTCCCCTACTGGACCTCACTCCTACCCCTAGAAAGCTTAGAGCTGAATTGAACTGCTAGGATTGAGGTCATAGTTGGGATACATAGCTGCTTCCCATCTCCCTACATGCTCCCATCCTACTGTTGACAGGGATTAGAGTGCATCTCCACAGGGGTGATGAACCCCGTAGGAGTCTGATAGAAATAAAAACACTCCCCAGAGTTCAGCTGTTTATTGCCTTCCTGGATGGGAGAGGATGAGGAAGAGAGTTCAGCTAAGCTGGATAGGTGCCCACTGAGAGCTGAGAACCATCCAAAGGGAACAGGAGTAGGGATGAAGAACCAGAGCTACAGAGACCCCCCAAATCCCCCTACTTGACTGCTCTCCCCACATCTCCCCACATGACTGCTGGCCTGGGGTTCAGGTGATGCTGCCCTCTCTGTTCATGGTTGAGCCGGATCCTGCTTGAGAGGCTGAAAGTTGAAGAAGATGGGCTTCTCAGGCATCAGGATGAGGTTGAACTTGGTCCCCACCTCACTGAGCTCTTTGATTTCAATTCTGAAGTTCTCCAGCAGCTGAGGAAAGAGGTGGGCTTAAGGGATGGAGTGGAGGATCTGTCTCTCCCAGGTCATACACCCCCACCTGCAGGCAGGGCCTGTTGACTGTGATCTAAGGACCTCAAAGGGGCATAGCACAATCTATTTAACCCCCTCACCATATCTAAATGGGCCCGGGGTGCTCTGTTCTCTGGATTTAGGCCTTGACCCTAATGAGTCTTTAGCATCCTTCTTCCACCCTATCTCCAGAGTAGGAATAGACACCCAGGGGACATGTGGGGTAACAAGTGGATTAAACCAAAAGAAAGAGGCAGCTGGGAGTTGTGAGAGATAGATGAGTCTGGCCCTGCACTCCCTGGACTCTGGGGATGGCAGGAGGAGGGTTGTTGACATCATCAGAGCCAAGGAAAACCCAGGGTGTGACATGTCCCCTAGCCTCACTCACATTGATGAGGAACATGGTCATTTCCAGCTCTGCAATCCGCCGGCCCAGACACTGCCGCACGCCCCAGCCAAAGCTCAGGTCCCGGAAATGGGTGTTGTTTTTGTCTTTTTCCAGCCAACGGGTTGGGTCAAAATTGTTTGGATTGGAGAAGAATCTGGGATCTCGGCCCATGGCATAGCTGGCCACCTGCACCAATGTCTAGGGGCAAGAAGGTCAAGGTATAAGCAGCTCCAGATCCCCACAGTCCTGACTACAATCCCACCCCCAGCCTCCTTGGGCCCCTGGTTCCTAGCCAGGCTGCCCAGCCACCTGGGATAGAACAAGGCATTCTGCCTACTTCATGATCTCAAATAAGGCCCCGCCTCTTCATGAACCCCACTGCTGGGATAATCCACAGGATCTTCCTATCCTTTTCTCAACCCCTGACCCACCTTCAACACAGGCAGACCAGTGATATTTGTCTCCTAACTCTGGGCTCCAGTATTCCTTACCCACTGTGCCTACCACTACTGCTCTTCATGCAAACTTAGACTGAGAACACTCAGTGCCAGGCGGAAAGACCTGGACAGAAGCCCCTATGACCACCATCTGTCTGCAATTGCAGCCTTACTCTCTTCCATCTGACTGACAGAGCCTCTGGGTCCTACCTTGGCAGGAATCATGTAATTACGAAGTACCAGGTCATTCACAAGATACCTCTGCAAGGTCACAGAGATGGGATGCAATCTGTGGAAATAAGACCCTCAGAAATTAATGGCCCCAGAGCCAAGACCCAGGCCATACCCTCTACCCCCTCCCATACCAACATGACATCTCAGCTTCTGCTGCAGCACCCTGGGGCGGGGGCGGGGAACAAAGGCGGGACCTGGCTCTAGTTCCATCTCCCCAGTCCCACCTGTCCCTTCCAGCTTCTAATCTCCTCCACTAACTCATTCTTGGAACCCTTGGGGGGCGGGGGCAGACAGGAAGGCATAAGTGTACTGTGCTTGCCTCAGTGTCTCCTTGATGCTGGCTTTGAGGAGAGGAACCAACTGTACCATCCTGGTCATGTCTCCCTGGGCCTGGCGCCGGGCAGCCAGAACTTCTGCCCGCAACTCTTCCTGCACCTTCAGGTTGCGTGCCATCTCATACATCTGCCACTGCAGGGTCATGGATGTCTGTTGGGAGTACATGGGGTATAGAAGCCAGGGGGCCCATTACTTCAAGGCACCTTAAAGTTCCATGACTCACACTAAGGAATCTCCCCCGTCCTCACCATAACCAAGACCATCTGTAAAACCTTTGAAAGTCTATTGTCTAAAGAGACTTTCTCAGTGCCAAAGTAGTAGAGTACTTGCCTAGCACACACAAGGCCTGGGTTCAATCTACAGCATCACATAAACTTAGTACCTGTAATCCTAGTACTTTAGAAATAGGAGGATCAAAAGTTCAAGATCATCCTTGGCTGTATATCAAGTTTGAGGCCAGCCTGGGTTACCTGTGTTATTGTCTCAAAAAAAAAAAAAATAGTCAATGTCCAGGCAGAGCTACTTAGGGCAGACCTGTCCCTGTCTTCATCCTGCATGTCACCAATACCCCAATACCCATCCATCTCCCAGCCAATAGAGTGTCAACTACATTGCCAATGCCTTCTTCCAGAGGACTCCAGAGGCTTCCAGAAATTGTATTTATACCTCTGTAAAGCTTGTCCACACAAGCAGCTGCCATTCCTTTGGAACCCCTTGTGCAACAACCATCTGCTCCCCTGCAGAAGTCTAAACCTTAACATTCCCCCCAGCATCAGACCTTTAAGTAAGGCTCAACAGTTCTGAAACTAGGCCACAGATTCGTGTTTCTCTCTCTCTCTCTCTCTCTCTCTCTCTCTCTCTCTCTCTCTCTCTCTCTCTCTCTCGATGTAAGGGAGATTCTAGAATTAATAAACTACTCTCAACATGAGCCAGAGGTTGCAGCCACTGGTCCTCCTTGAACTCCCAGGGTCCCAGATTCCTTCAAGGTGACAGACTAAGCCCATTTGAGGACCCAGCCTGGAACATCCTCCCTCCCAGGGTTGGGGATATGAATTGCTGGTGCTAACAACCCTCTCTGTAACTCCATTCCAGGGGATCCAATGCCCTCTTCTGGCTTCTATGGACAATGCACTTATGGCTGCATTTACATACATGCAAGCAAAACATACACATAAAATTAAAAAAAAACAAAACTGTTTAAAGGTAGTTCATTATACTACTAGTTGTGTGACCTCAGCTAAGTTATTTAACCTCTCTGTGCCCTGTTTCCTCATCTAAAAAGAAGAATATACCTCATAGTGTGTCAAGGTCTTAGAGTTCACCTGCAGTTATCTGATGGGCAGCAAAATGCAGGATAAAAGTTTGGCATCTTTGCTTTCAAAGGGAAAATAAAAACAATCTGCACAGAGCCTGAGCCTTTCTACACCCATGTTATGGTTTCTTTTTACAATCTACAACTTCAGGTCAGATTCCTCTCAACTCTGCTCAAAACATCATCTAATCAATCAAAGAATAAATCTCTAAACATTGGTGACCCAAGGTTCATTAGTCCTAACTTGACCTAAACCATCTCTTCTCCTTTAAGGCTGAAGAAACCAAGATAAGGAACTAAGATAGTATCAAGGGTCTAGGAACGGCAGAATCTCGCAGGCAGATCAGCCCATGATGAGGCTGTCTCACCTCCCACAAGCAGGAGCAATTACCCCAATTGGAATCGAAGTGGCTACCCTAAGACTATGGTCTCATGACCACCACTGAATCACCCCCCAAGCAACAGCAATTCTAGGTAAGCATTCCTCAGTAGTCAGTAGTTGTACATGCCTCTGCCATGTAGCCCTGTGACATATGGCCAAAATGTTCTCACCCCTACTTCATTGCTGTGGGCTGAATTGTGCCCCAAATCCTCTCATACAAGTTGCAACTCCTAATACCTCATAACACAACTGCATTTAGAGACAGGTCTTTTAGGGAGATAATGGAAGTTTTTAAAAAGACCTTGGTGTGCACCATGGCCCAATAACTGATGTCATTTGAAGAGGAAGTCAAGATACAGAGGGAAATCCATGTGCCGACATGAGGAAGATGATCATCTCTAAACCAAGGGTCAGGCCTCAGAATGAACCAATCCTGCCCACACTTTGATATTGGACTTCTAGCCTCCAGAACTGTGAGAAAATAAGTGGCTATTGTTGGAGCCGCTGGTCGGTGCTGTTCTGTTATTGTGACCCAAGTTCCTGAGACTACCAAACTCCTGTCTCTGGGCCATGGGAACAATGGAGGCCCCTTGGACTCACCTTTCCTGGCACAGTGCTTCCATCCTAACCATTATTAACACTGTATGGTTAACTTGAAGTGTCCCATAGTTTGCAAGAAGGGAAGGTGCTCAGGACATATGATTTGAGTTTTGAGGAAGAGGAGTTCTGGGATATTAGGCAGGCAGTGCCCTATCTCATAGACGCCTCTGGGTATTGATGGGATCATGGGACACTGTAGTCTGAAAGGGGAGACGGGGACAATAAAAAGGCCCTGGAAGACTGAGCCCAGGACTGATAGCGCTGGACCGACTCCAGATTTCTGGAGGTCCTATTTCTATGAGTCTGGTGGGCCATGTCCTGCACTCAAAGTTAGGAGTCATGGCCCTCTAGCAGCTGAGCTTCCACCAAACAGGCCTCACTATGTCTTTCACCTTTCAAAAAAAATGTATTTTTTTGTGTGTGTCTAAATGTTTTGCATGCATGTGTATAAGTGCACCACATGCATGCAATGCCCACAGAGGCCAGAAGGAGTCAGATCCCCTGGAACTGGAATTATAGACGGTTCTTAGCGGCCATGTGGTGCTGGGAACCAAACCTGGGTCCTCTACAGGAACAGCCAGTGCTTGTAACCACTGAACCATCTCTCTAGTCCCAAGCCTTTCACCTTTAAAGAATCTACAAAGAGAGCTGGGAATAGTAGCCCACGTCTGTAACTCCAGCACTTGGGAGATAAAAGCAGGAGGATTTCTGTGAACTTGAGGCCAACTTGAGCTACAGAGTGAGTTCCAGGCCAGCCTAGGCTACAGAGTGAGACTGTGTCTCCAACAAACAAAATTCTACGCAAGCGGCTGGGAATGAAGCTCGGGTGGTGCAGTGCTTTGCCGAGCGTGCAGGAAGCTCTGGATTTATCCCAGCACTGCACAAAACAGAATATGGTGCTCCACACCTGTAATTCCAGAATTCAGTAGATAGAGGCAGAAGAGCTAGGAGTTCAGGGTCATAATGGCCTACAGTGAATTCAAGGTTACCCCGAGCTTCATGAGACCCTGTCTCAAAAAAAAAAAAAATTGATGCAAGACTTGGGCCCCACTACCTACACCCAAGTAATTCCTGTCTTTCTCACAGGAAGATCAGTCTCAAATTCTGTCCAAGAGTAGTCAATAGTGGGCGGTAGATGATAGGATGTTTACCTCACACACACACCCCCCAGGAGGCTAGTGTTTAAAGTCTAGAGCCAAGAGAGGGCAGTGCATCCATACAGGAAAAGGCCCCCACTGTGCCCTGAACAGTGAGACTTCAGACAACATAGCTGGCAGAGAAGGGGGTATATGGGCACAAGGAGGCTCAAACTGGGTCCAACAGCACTCACTGTGTCCACCCCTCCGGTCAGCATCTCGGTGACATTGGCCTGGATGTTCGTGAAGGGCAGCTTGTTCCCTCCCAGCAGGCTATAGAGGACACCGGGGTACTTGCTGAAGTCTCGCTTCTGCCTTAAGTCCCAGTAGAAGTTTTGGATGTATTCATCAGCTTTAGGGTAGAAGGAAGAACATAGTGAGGCTCACTGAAGGTGGGAGGGAGGAAAGGCCACCCATTTTTCGGATGCAGGGTCACCAAGAGCTGGGGATTCTGGAGCTCCTGCTTGGTAGGCTGCTGTTTTACTAAGCATCTATTTTGTACTAAGTCCTTAACATCTGTTATGACATTTAAGCCTTGACTATAACTCTCTGGGTGATATGCAATATTACCCCTACTTTTCAGAGAAGAAAATGGAAGGTAAGAGTCATCATTTGCCAAGATTACGTGGGTGTTAGTGGCAAAGGTAGCATTTGATTCCACCATACCCAGTCAGCCTTCTTTACCCGACTTCCCTCTCTTCTCATGCCTCAGTGTTCCCACCAAGCCTCCTGACACCCAACCAGTGTGGCTCCAACACTGACCCTCAACCCTAGATCATGAGCTCATTTTTTAAAAAATCTTTTTTTATTATTATTGGGGTTGGAGAGATGGCTCTGTGATTGAGCACTGACTGTTCTTCCAGAGAACCTAGGTTCGATTCCCAGCACACATATGGCAGCTAACAACCATCCATAACTCCAGTTCTAGGGGATCCAACATCCTCTTCTGGCTTCCATGGACTTTGCGCAACATGGGTGAACTTACATACATGCAGGCAAAAACACTCATACATATAAAATAAATAATTTTTAAAACATTTTATTGTTTAAATTATGTATGTGTGTATATGTATGTGTGCACACGAGTACAGATGCCTGTGGAGGCCAAAAAGGGATGTTGGACCCCTGTAGCTAGAGTTACCGGTAGTCGTGAGCCCCCTATGTGGAGGCTCTGGTTCTCTGCAAGTGTAGCAAGTGCTCTTAACCACTAAGCCATCTCTAGCCCCTCTCCTCCATTATGAGCTCCTTTAAGAAACACTATGTGTATCTTTACTTCCTTTTCTCCAGAAAAAAGTTAATCATCCCCAACAGTCTCCAGCCCTGATACTCATTCCTGCCCACCAAAGAGCTTCCTCCATGGCAAGTTAGTGGCCATTTGCAAATCTTGGAGCAAGGAGGCAGCCTGAGACCAGGAGTTCCCAGCTGGCATCCCCTCTCTCAATCTGGTGAGCTCTCCTCCTGAGCACAACCAAAAGAATCCTCACCTTTACTGAAAATCACATCCCAAGCAGCGACATGGTCCTTCCAGGTCTTAGTCTTGAAGAATTTAAAGAGTTCCGGGGGCAGGTTGAGCAGGGGGACACTGGTGTGGAACATCTGGTAGATGGCATTGATGAACCGCTGGGACTCAGGGTCCAGGATCTCCTCCAACATCCCTTGGCGCTCCCCAAATACAACACTGGAGATGGCTGCAGGTGGAGGCTGAGGCTGAGGACTCCCTTCCAATCTGGTTATCTTAGAGCCTCAGCCCAGGATCTCCTCCACCCATCCCCACCACACACAGGAGCTCTCCCCCAATCTCAGCTTCCCTCAGCAAAGAAGCTGAGGCCTGAGCCCCAAATACTAATAATGCAGTGTGGAAGAAGGCTGTTCTGGCTGGCATACAGGCCCCTCAGACAGATGAGGGAAAGACCCTGAAGGAAAGACCCTGAAAGGGAGCTTTGGTGGGAAGCACAGTCTCCATCAAACCCAGGTGAGAACCTGAGCCAGGATGAAACTGCCTAAGAAGGATTTCCCATTATAACTGACTAGATTCACTACCTTCTTCTTGAAACAGATCAGTTGGGAAACTGGGTACCTAAGTTCTTGGGTTAATTGGTTATCTGGGATCCAGTCTGGCTAGACCTAGAAAGCCACAACAACCTCAACTTTTTCTCAACTACAATGTGAAGAATTTGGTTTTTTTTTTAATTAATTTTATTTATTTGTTTTCAGTCTTTTTGAGGCAGGGTCTCTCTGTAGCCCCAGATGGCCTGGAACTCGCTATGTAGACTAGGCTGGCCTAGATCTCACAAAGATGCCATTGCCCCTGCCTCTGCTGGGATTTGAATACCAATTTTATACCAAGCCCAGGTCACCCCAAATTTCCTGCAGAGGTCAATATGATCTCCTTCAAGCCCCATGCATGCATTGTTCTCTGGCCTATGCTGCAAGACTTCTTTACCATCTGAATAACTCCTATGTATCCTTCAGTGCCCAGTTCAGAGCAGTCAACCGGGGTCTCCTCCCTCCTGCCAGATTTCAAAGGTCTGTTCTAGGAAAGGGAGACTAAAGAATGACTAAAGGAATGACTAAGCCAAGCTCTGACTTGTGGAGGATGGTGGTGTAGAGGACCTATGTTTGGGGAGCCCCACAGCACAAATATCAGGTGAGAGGGACCAGGCTACCTCCCTAGATGGCAGAGTATGTCCTGGAACGCAAAAGTGCAGGGTCTGTGCTGGGTCTCAGGGTAGGAGGAAGAGTACTGATTCCCCAACCTCAGCTCCTGCCAGTGAGGTGCAAAACCCTTACACTCAAAGGCAAAGCGGAACAGGTCATCACTGATGTCCCCTGAGAATTTTCCAGAGTTCTGCTCTTTGATGCGTCTGTGTAGGACTCTGGTGAAGTCCTGAGTTATGCCTTCCAGCATAGGCACAAATTTCTTGACCGCTTCGGGAGCCATCACCTCCTGGTTTAGGACCATTCGGTCTTTCTTCCAAGCTTCCGAATTCCTGGAGAAACACAGACCCCCACCTTATGGTCACAGACCCCAAGCCTGGCACAGAGGGGTTGGTTCAGTGCTCTCCAGAGAGGCCAAGCTAACACCTAGAGCCTGCATCATCACTAGTTCCCCTTCTCCTGACCACCTCCCACCTCCTCCCTCTCCTGCCTGGACTAGGAGAGAAGGAAAGAGAGATGGTGACAGAGACCAAAACCCTGACTGCCCTTCATTATGGCTGCCACCGCCACCACCCACCACCACCAGGAACCAGAAACTCTTAATCACTCTTGGCATAATTCTCAAGCTACCAGCTCCAAGCCTACCTTCTATAACATTTCCCCTGGCTCCTGGCCATCACTTACCTTTCTACCATTGAAGGCCCCTCTCCAACTTTCTCATGTGTGCACTGGTGAAGTTGATTGACATCTCCACCCTTACCTCCCCAAAGTGTCCTGGTAGTCACTGTGTTGGGGATCTCAGCTGCTCAGAATCATTTAATCAAAAATCTCAATTCAGGGCCAGGCACTATGGCTGATGTCATTAATCGCAGTACTTGGGAGGCAGAGGCAGACGATCTCTGTGAGTTTGAGGCTAGCCAGGGCCTACATGAGACCCTATCACAAAACAAAACAAAACAAAACAAAACAAAACAAAACAAACAAAACAAAACACCCAACACTGCAGTTCAGAGCGGTCAGTGAGATGTCTCAGCCAATAAAAGCATTTAATGCTTGAGCCTGAGAACCTGAATTAAATTGATCCCCAGGACCTACATGGTAGAAGGAGAGCAATAACTCCCAAAAGTTATTCTTTGACTTCCTCATGTGTACCATGACACAAATGTGTACACGAACGTGAGGGTGCACGTGCACACACACACAAATAAATGAATAAATGAATAAATAAATAAATGTAATTTAAAAATAAAAAAGCAAACAAACCTCAGCTTATGACACATAAAAATCAACCCATGCAAAGCTCTTTTTGTAATTTGGGGAGTTTGTTTAAGAATGCTCTTTGTAGCTGAGCATGGTGGTGCAGGCCTTTAATCCCAGCACTCAGGAGGCAGAGGCAGGTG